AGACTTTTTTTCTTTTCATTGTTGTATTGTTTTCAGAAATGTCTCCATTATCATTTTTCTTACACCCATATGGTGCCAAAGACAATCTTCAGTGTGGGTGTGTCTGTTAAAATTACAGTATGTGTCCTTCAGCAGTCAAAACATTTGCTATGGAAGTTTTCTGGTGAAAGGAGAACTCAGGCAGCAGCTGGTGTCTTGTGCAGAAGAGTTTAATGTAGACTTGCATCAAGAAGACTAGAAGGTGGAACAATATTCAAAAACAAAAACAATTGAGAACTATCAGCTGCGAGCAAGTTGACTGTGGTAGGTAGGTCAGGTAGGTAATGCAATATGACATTGCTGTAGGGCATTTAAAATGTGCATGTTATGATACGTTTATACCGCAGACTCTGACTTGCCTCAGGCTGAGGGCTTTGCCCAGGAATCTTTGTAGGTATTCCAAACTCCACAATCCAACTGTTTGATCAAACAGCTCAAATTGGGAACTGGATGATTGGGAGCTTTCTGATAAAGTAAAAGTAGTGTTTCAGTGAGAAACTACACCATTAGTCTTGTGAGCACATCCTTTAACACTTCATTGTATCATAATTTGTACCTAACCTGTTGCAAAAGTCGTCTACTTTACCAGTCAAGTCTGGGCTATTTCTACAGGATTCTGTGAAAGAGTGCAGGACAATAGTGTGTTGACATAGTCACAATGTCTTGATTTTCCTCTTGATCTAACACTTTTCATACCTTTATATAAAACATAGCCAACATAGTCTTAATTTTTAGCTTTTAGCAACAAGAAGTGATTTGGAAATCTTTTCTATTCTATTTATACCAAATTCATTCTCAGGTGAGTTTCTGTGTTTTATACAATTTAACAGAAAACAACATACAGTATGAAGATAGGTTGAGGTAGATTCGCCTTTTATCCAGGGTTACTTCTGCTGACTCTTTTTGAAATGTTGGTAAAGCCTAACCCCTCACATTCTCATTTTAGAGAGTGCCTTGGGCAAGTGCTTTGTCATAATATTTGTCTGTACTTGCACTGATCAGCGTTCTCAAACATCAGTTTTATTTCTGCTCAGCAACAGGGTGTAGACTACCTGTTAAAAAAGGGATGCTATTATTGGAAGTAGTGTTAAGGATTGTGACTATTGGTCATCTGAACAAAGAGTTCAATTCCACACAGTATGTGACAGATGTTTGATTTGATGAGGTGCTTCAATTTCAACACAATAATTATCTGAAAGTCTAGCGCACTCTGTTGACCAAAGAGTAAATGATCATAACACTGGCGATATTTTCACCTTTCTTATTGCTGACATCTTAGAACTGTGAACAAGATCTTAGATCAAGAAGCTTCGTGAAACATGATTGATGGATCTAGGAATGCAAGATTTAAAAGATCATACCAGATAGATACTGATTCAGATAAATATAATTTTTTTTAATTCACAGTCGGTCAGTCCCTCAACTCAAATATTTGCTCTGCTGGTCTCAAGTGGTCGACAATCTTGGAAGTTTTGAAGGTAAACATGACAGAGTAAACAGCATGAACAAAGTGAAGCAGGAGTTGGTTTAATTGGTTTTTCCTTGTAGTAAATCTGAATGAGTAACCTTTGGGCTGATTACAACGCTACCAAGTGGTAAAAAGAAAGAAGTTTGAATTTGATGAGATGAGTTTTGTGAATATCAGGAAATGTTCTGTCTTGGTAGACAAGCCACTTATATTACAAGCTATAAAAGAAGAAAAATTAGTGAGCAGCATTGACACCGACTGGTAAGATATTACAACAAGTTAAATCATAAATGGATTATTTCTACTGTAGATTTTTTACAACATATCTATTCATCATTAAATACCAATTATTTTATGTAAAAATATTCTTAATGCCAGGTTTGTTTTTGGATTTTGAAGTAGGTATAAATTATGGTCCATGATTTGATTTGACAGGTTTTTTTTAGTAGCTGCCAAAATCAAAATTGACAAATATACAGTATATGTGACTCTAAATATATAAAGTAGATTTCCAATAATTATTATTGACACCACGTAGAATTTGATTTTATTTGTTATAAGTAACTTTCTCTTCATTAGACAGCTGACTGACCTCTTTCATAGTTGACTCAAGAAGTAGAGTAAAGCTCTATCTGAGTTCACAAGGTGGATGCAGGATACTGTGCGGTAACAAGGCACTTTTGATGTAACACACAGAGACATAACAGGTAACTGGGTCTGTTGTAATGGGATCATCCTGTGGATTAAGGTTATTTGAAGTGCCGTGTACACGCCAGCAAGAAAGCGGACAGCATTACAGATCAGTGGGCTTTATGAAAAGTTCAGACGTTTCCACGTCATAACATGCATCATATTCTTTGCGTTTACGGGCCAGATTCAGTATTACTATTAATTGTGTATAGGTGAGGCTAGATATATCTCAGTGTAAATATTTCAGCTGTAGGCTGTACTTCAGGTTCTTTTTGGGTGCACTACATAGCAATAGTACACTCAGTTGACTAGCTTACATATTAAATTGAATAATTGATCTGTCCTCTGCTTAAGGATTTAGTGTGAGCTCAACAGCCATCAGAGGTTCCTCCAAGCTACACTATCTTTTCAAGCATTTCTGCAATATATTGTACACATGGATAGTGCAGATCCCTGATGATATGTCTTAGAGCGAGTGTTGCAAATGATCATAAGTACGTTTAGATGTTTGTTCACTAATCTAACCAACTAATCTGTTGTTGACTGTTGACCTGGAGACTGTTGATGGAAAGGCGAATGTGGGAGCGGCTTTTCACAGGTCGTCCTGTCATGACACCGCAGGGGACAAGTCTGACCGATGCCTTAACTGTCCCGGGGGATTTGTGGGATTGTGAGTTGAGTGAAGGATTAGGGTTTTAGTGGCACACAACAAACAGTGGGTCTATGGGTCAGTGTGTCAGTATATCAGTGAGTCAGTAGGCTTATATTTTTCGCAGAGTAGGTCAGCATTTGCTTTCCATGAGCGAGGCCAATGGAATTACTTTCTTGTATCAAAGAGTACTCGACCACTCATGGTAACTCTGAACTGTCCTCAGGATCATGCTCCAGAAGCCACCATACGTGCTGGGATTTTTTCAGCCATGCCATCAATTAACAGTTATTTATTTTTGTTGCTGTTCAGATCTGCCAATGCAGAGGTTCAAAGATGGCAGTCATGTGAAAATGCTTTTCTGAGCAGTACCTGCAAAATCTAATCTGCTGGAAGAAATATGAACGCACAGATGACACAAGCAGGATCCACAGTTTTTTTCCAGATCAACCAAATAACTCAATCTCAATATTAATGTCACTATCTAGATAAACTGTCCTGATTACTCTTGATGTTCCAGGTATCACAACGTTGTGCTTCAGCTGAAAAATAGTTTATCTTATACAGCTAGTCATTTATAAATGCTTTTACCCTCATGGAAACAAATCCCATACACTTAGATTCTATTGGGGTGGTGACAGAAAACCCAGGGAGGAAATCTCAAAAACCAGGCTAGATAACACCAGATGTACAGTATCTGACCTTTTTGGGACAGTTGAGTTTAGGGGTGGTCTCAGAGGAGATGTTTTTTTCTTTTATGAGTTTTATGCACTTGGTGATAAAACACCTCCATCAGCTTACTTTCATTTTTGAGCCACTGGTGCTCAGGACTGTTCTGTGCAGGGTTAGATAAAACCCTATTAGGTGTTGAATATTAAAGAGGTTATTGATATTTTATGAGTCTGTGTAGTTTTATTCCTGTCATTTGGATAGGAATACGTATATAAACAACTTATACTATTTAAAACATATTTTACTGCACTCCCCTCAGACACTGACTATAGTCCAGGCTGGATGGTGTAATATCAGCATAGCTGTTGGCTGTCGAGGGGGAGTTGGCAGGTTCTGGCAGTTCAAGTCAGGTATTTTGGCAACCGAGGATTTATGATATTTTATTGATATATTATTCGATTTGAATAGATCTTGTAAAGAAGAATTTCATATCATAGGAGTGGATGACACTTTACAGGTCAGTGGTGAACCATATCATTATGTGTGGTATTGCTTCTATAATAACAAAATAGAAAAATGTAATAATATCTGTCCTAGCCCTCTTTACTGACCTCCTGTCATTTGTCCACCCACCCAGAAGTCCCCAAATTTTATTTGTGTTTCCAAATCTTCCTGCTCACCTGTTTTCCATTTCTGTTGCTGTAACTTCAGCGTCTATACCAGCCCTGTCTCTGCAAGTGTCCAGACTATTAGCTAATGTCTCTGTATGTTTCCCATTGTGCTGTTCATGCTGTGGACTCTCTGTCACGGCTGGTGGTAGGACCACTGGGAGCATACATTCTCTCTACGTTTGTGGATATCATGCCAAGAGAATGTGACAACTGTTTACACACCAAACACAGACAGTCCATAAAGCCACTTCTACTATTTGTATGAGCAAATACGACCTTTGCCTTACAGACAGTGTCAATGTGATTACATGGCACGTACCTTGTTTTGTCAGGCTGGGTAAAATTGAGAAATTGATGACTATCATTTCAAAAATATTTTAAAAAAAAATTGAATTACAATGATACATTTTGATTGAACTAAAGATCGTGTTTATACAGAAAAATGTTTTTTGACCACTTTTAGGTGGTTAAAAATGCACCAGCTCACAATGATCGTGGAACATTATTGCTGTTCGTCACAGTTGAACATTATAAGAGGGTTAGGACAACAAGGATTTGTGCTTATAAACATTAACTTTTCTGCTGGGGTTTTTCAAAATATTAAAATTATTCCTTATGTTCTAAGGTGAAGAAGTACAGTGATAGAGAAAAACAATGGAAATATCAAAGGCTGATTTATAATATTTCTTTATTAAAATATACTTTCACAATAATCATGTCATTTCAGCACATTAAGACAAATTGTATTGCAAATGTTATCATTTATTTGCAAAAAAACCAATTTGTTATACATAAAATATAGTATGAAATAGTCAAATCCTGGATCCATTTCCATCAGTTACATTATAAAGAAATTGTTGCATCATCTGTTTGCTCTGCAGTTATATACTATACCACACATTTCAACACAACTTAGATCTAAAAATATATTGTGAAATGACATTGTGCTCTCTGCAGGCATATAGAATTAGCTATAAAAATACAGTAGGATGATAAAGTGCATAGTAGGTTATGGTACAATGGCACCTCAATGTCACATTGAGCCCTGTGACAGAAAGTGCTTACAAGATAAAACTATGAACTGCAATGATAAATTCCAGTATTCAAAAATATTTTCTATAAGTATGAGCTCAAAAGCGTAAATAGAAGTGAATCATTTAAAGGCTCCATGGTCATTGATCCCACTGCTTCACAGACCTTCACATTACCTGACACTGAAGCAATAGCTAAATGTTTGAGCATGCTGCTGAAAAATAACCCTGGGGTCATATTCTGACAGAGTCACAGTTACCCAACTGATTACCCGACTTGTGTAAATAATACAGTGGAGATGCTGATTAAGCATATTTCAAACTGCATGTTGCATCAACTGCAATCGGGGTGAGGTAAGGGGAGATTTCAGTAGTTTTGAACTGATTCAATTCGGTTTCAGTGTTCTCTTGCACTGAAATAACAACAGCTTCATATCATAACTTTTTGGTGGATGTAAAAAAGAGTAAAATGATCGGAATCCCAGTTGAATTGTTTGACATGTCAAAAAACATACTTGCTTTCACATGAGAGACCTATCGTGTGAAAATGGCGTTCTTCAAGGAAATATTCTCGGCCCAATTTTGCTTTCATTATGTTTCCAGTTGTACATTTCTGTTTCCCCATATGACCCCAGTCTAAAGCTTGCTCTCATTGCTCTCAAACTTTGGGAGTGATTTTAGACTCAGAACTTAATTTAACATTTTAACAAAACTGCTAAAAGCCCTCAAAATATTAGCATAGTTTTTAACTGAGAATGATGCTCAAATGCTTTTATTACCCGCCATTTATACTAGTGAATAAAGTTCAGGTGAGTTCGAATTTCTCGATACTCCAAGAGAAAGTCGCACTTTGTCATTAGATTTGAAGAAGGCACAATTTACATATAGAATCTCTTACAGTAACATACAGTAAATATAATATCTAATATAATCTTATTTGCCTTGAAAGTGGTGTCACTGCTGTTCAAAATTTCCCGAGATCATAACACATTTTCATCTTTGAACTGAATCCCAGCAGCAATTTTGGAAAACAAAATAAATAAACTATATATGACAAAATATGAGAAAGGATTCACATGATTTTAAAGGCATCACATTAATCTCTTAATGTAAACAACATCTGCAATCTATGTAGGACATCAATCAGCCCTAGCCTGAACTATATTGACTACAAAATGTTTTACATTGATATCACACCTTTCTGATCTGTGTTGAGTTTATGTGTTATTGATGCTTAGTTTATTTCCTTTCTGTAATTTATGCCTTAGACATATGAATGTAATGTTTCTGCATTCAGCCACAACACACGCAGCATTTTAAAATCTATTATTTTTGGGAGCAATGTTATGAAATCAATCTTTCACACATACACCTTTATGGGCAGTTATCATTTTGAAGTCAAATCAGTCAGATGTTACCTGGGTTAGTGTTTTGTGTTTGGTCATCTGCTCTGTTGATGTGTGTTTGAATCACTCTGTGAGTCTCTGTCTGCAATACACACAAAACTAATCTATGTTAAGTACCATGTCTCTCATACTGTGTCCTCTATGTGCATCCACAGGATTCCACTATCATGTCAGGAACGTCCATTTTGACAATACTGTGCTGAGAGTCAAAGAAGACCATGGAGAGTGGCCGGCGCTCAGTGGGAACACAACATGAAGTTGTGGCTGTGTTGATGCCATTGATTTTCAGCTGGCTGAAGACTGTGGCATGGAAAGAGGATGCGATTCCAGGGGAACCAGCCAGATGTTGGGGGCACTGGCCTATGCAGTAGTTCATATGGTAGCCTTCAGGTGCAATGATCCACTCATCCCACTGGATATCCTTGAACTTGATGTAGAATTCTCTCTTGCAGCACACGCTTACAACATTCCCGCAACGCAAGGAACGCTTCCTGAGTACATGTTTGGAATGGTCATCCCGGAGACGCACCTTGGCCACCAGGAAGGGCTGGTATGCGGAATTAGCTGTGCCATCAAGGGAGCAAAGATTCTTCCCATCTTCATCGCAGCTCACCTCCAGCCGTAGGCGGCGTTGGCCACTGTCGAGGAATGACTGCAGGGTGCGTGTGATGGGGAAGGTGTGCCAGTTGCTGTCCTGTACCTCCAGCATCTTCTCTATCACCAGGGTACGGTTGCTACCAGACACCTCTCCAACTGCAGAAAGGAAGACTCTGGCAGGGAGCCGGGAGTCCCGGTGAGGGTCCTCAGAAGAGCGGACATAGATCCACAGAGAGGACTCGAGTACTTGGATACTCTGGCCTCGTTCCTGCAGAAACTGGAAGGTGAGGCTGGCCCCCTCACCACTTTCCATCTCACCTACAGATCAAAGACAATTTGAAAACAGCAGGCTGTTAATATTTTGGACACTAGAGGTTGCAACCTTTGTTGCCAGCTGAGAGAAAATAAAACAATGCTTATAATGCAAAGCAGCATATTCTTGTAAAAAAAAAGCATTTTACCTTCTCATTGTAATATGGTTCATTCTTAGCCTAATATAAACCCATGGCAAGCTTTGGAGACATATTGTAGCCACCTTATGGTTAAATCTATACATTGATGACAGATACAGTAATACAGTTTTTACTGTCTCTACATTGTAAGGAACATAAAACAACATTAAGTAGCCTAATTAACAAAGCAAGTCGAAAAACTGACCTAATTTCTGCGCATATTACGCACATTAAACGTGGTCTGTGTGTGCCATGCAGAGCAATTATAGCCCTAAATAATAAAAGGTAAATACCAAACTTACTTATATCTGCAAAGCTCACTATTTCATATCCTGGATCTTTGGTAGGTATATTGTTTTCTAGTTCAAGAGTACCATCCTGTCTGACGCGCCCCGAGTGCAGTTTGCGCAGCGCAGTGAGGAGCGCCGCCCGGGGAACCGTGTGAGTTATGTTTGGTCTCTCTTTTAGGTGCAGCTTCTCCAAAATTTGCTGCTTGGCGATTTCTGTCATCAGCCTCTCCTCTGCGTCCCTGTCCATTGCCTGCAAGCCACACGAAACGCAGCTCGGGGACGGTGAGCCACTGATCCGGAGAGCGTTCAGCAGCAAGGGTGCCAAAAAGACAAATGATGGGAAAGAGAAAGGCGTCATACTTGACCCTAAAGCAAATAAATGCATCTCTGTGTTCGTCATGCGTAAAAAGAACAAATCAAATGAGTCTTCAGATCCCTCTTCCCTGAGTTGTTCTTTGGACAAGACAAGTTTTCCAAGTGTCAAAGGTTCTTGTTGCAGCTGGACACCGTGAGGAGAGGAGCTGAGAGACAGGAGTGGTGTTTCACCCTCCAGCAGGTGAAGATATCTGGGGTAATCCACAAAAACTGGTGACACGTTGGAGGGACGCACCAATGAGCGCATCGGGGCGCCAAGGAAATTACTGGCAAAGCATATGTCTGTCGTGCGCTCTCACAACGCACGCACACGTACGCTTCTCATTCACAATCGACATGTGGTAGTGTACACAACTAACTTCTGGTAACATGACCCACCTGTAGGTTACACTGATGCACACGTTGTCTTAAAAGTAACTGATTTCCATACATGTGACCATGATCTGGGTGTGATGAAAGTCGTCCTCACTTCACCACAACAGGTTGATTCTGTGCCACGTTGCGCGCTGCGGTGCCACAGAGCCATAAACGCAACCTTGCATCTCTCTTGCAAAGTGGAGGTAGTAATCCAGTGCCCTTTCACCCAGTTATAGAATGAGTCCACCTCATAGTCACCAGTAAGTGAATTTCAAAATTTGGGAAAGTGCTCGAGGCTCTGTGGCACAGACTGTCCACCTGATATGATCAAACAGCAAAGTCTTGTGTTTCGATATTAACATCATAACAAATCTTCTTGTCACAAGAACTTACATGTATTGATTTTTTGTTTTGTGGTTGTGTTGCCATGACATAGACTTCTTTGCCTAGATATGTGTTATAAAGTACAAATATGTTATAAAGTTCTGTAGACAAAAAGGCTAGTTAGATATTAAACATATAAATATTCAACTGCCACAGGTCAAACTTTACTTAATTCTGAGTTTTTACTCCTGTTACTCTCGCAGCATTTCATACTTTGCAGAAATGTTAATCCATGTTAATGTATTGTGTCTTCTGATATGCTGAATTAACAATAAAGTTTTGATTCTTAAATTTCATAAGGAGTTTAAATAAAGTTACTGTAACAAATGCCATCAGTAGAATGGACCTGCACGATTTAGCCAAGTTAACAGATTGCAAGTAAGTCAGGTAATGAACTCTGCGCAGCCATGGAAAGAGAGTCACTCAATTTGAAAATCCAATCCTTCGATAACATGCAGGGTTTGATAAGAGGATAGATTTTGTGTAGCCTTCATGGACACACAGTGAAGAATAAAATCATGTGTAAATTTATCATCAAAGTGTTAAAGATAAATCCCTGAGATTATACGTTTATTTCCCTCATCTGTTATTCAAGCTTTGGACTGGGACAATGAACGTTCAGGCCTCAGCACATCACTGAAGAACTTGTCTGCCGACTAGTGGGGAAATGTAAGAACTACAATAAGCACATATGCAGATGAACACATGTAAATTGACTTTTTTTGTCCCAGTCAACAGCACCCCAATCCATCATCCACATAGACTATCATTCATTTATTAGATAGGTTTGACTAGGTTTATGAGAGATAAGTAAGTGATGAATCTGTGGAAAAATTACTCAGATGCTTTACTTGAGTAAAGTAGCAATAGGTAAAGTTACAGTTTTTAGTTACATTTTAAAATGTAAAATCACAGTAACTAGTAACCACTCTATGAAGTCATTAAGGTGTGATGACTTGGATAGGCCTTCAAATGAAATCTTATTTAGTAAAGACGTTTTAGCGTGTTGGAACATTTTACAATGGCATTATGAGAGAACGTTCAATCCAGCTTCACCAAATTTCACCAACCCAAACATTAATTATTCCCTGGGAGAACAGTGAAAATGGTGAAAACTCCCCTTTGCAATGTTGCAGTTTAATTATTGTTATTAGCACAGTGTGACTTCATGCAAATCAAAGCGTAATGTTGCACAATCTATAATGCCCAATTTTTTAATCAACTGGTCACATTTTTGTATGTTAAATCACAGTAATTATAGTTGTCGGTTAAATACTTATTATTTGTTTTTTGTTCTTAGAAGTGGCCTATACAGTGGCATAAATTGGACGTAGGCTTTCAAAGAAAAGTAAAGACTTGTTTTGGCCAGTGTGAACTAGAACAGCGCTTAGTAGAGTACATTCAATCAACCTGCACCAAGTTTCACTCATTGATATCAGTCTGACAATCAGTGGACATCATCATCCTCACAATGTTAAGTAAGAGTTTAAAGTTTCAGGGTTTAGAATTTCGGGATATCTAGTGGTGAAGTTGCATATTGCAGCAGAATACCCCTCACCCCACCCTTCCCTTCCAAACATGGAAGAGAACCTTTGGTTGCCTTCAGTTGTCATAAAAAATCTAAAGGTGTTTAGTTTGTCCAATCTGGGCTACTGTGAAACACATGGCGGCCTCCATAGCGAGGACCAGCTCCTGATGTAAACATAAAGAATGTTTACGCTTACGCTGACACGTTTATCCAAAGCAACTTCCAAAACGTGCATTCAACCATGAGGGTACAAAACAAAACAGCAAGAATCATACAAGTACATTAGCTTCAAAAAAGCCAAACTAAAATGTGCAACATGTAAGTGCAACTTTAGGGTCTAACCATGTCCTGGATGTAGACTGGGCCCGATCAGTTCACATCACAGTACGCAAGTTCTAGAGTCTTGAAGCGGATTCAGGCAGCCACTGATAACCAGTGAAGGGAGTGGTGGAGCAGAGTAGTGTGAGAGAACTGAGGTAAGTTGAAGACCAGTCGAGCTGCTGCATTCTGGTAGACCAGCCAGGAGGGAGTTGCAATAGTCTAGGCGGGAGATGACAAGAGCCTGGACCAAGGGGACGTATCCTACTGATGTCGAGTGTCACACCGAGGTTCCTTGCGGTCTGAGTGGGGGCTACCACAGAGTTGTCGTTGATTAGAGTAAAGTCATGGGTGGGAGAGCCCTTCCCTGGAAGGAAAAGTAGCTCGGTCTTGTCAAGGTTGATTTCAAAGTTGTGTGCGGACATCCACTGAGAGATTTAAATATAAAAGGCCCCATTCTAGGATAAAGAAAACAACAACAATTCGTAGAATTAAGATGAAACACACAAGTGAAATCATCACTGGGATTGTTTTATATGCAGTTTCTGCTAATAGATCCCCTTCACGTAAATCTTACACATTGGACCTTTAATTATTGTTATTAGCACAGTGTGCCTTCATGTTAATCACGTGTAACTTAATGCATCATATTTAATGAAGTGATCACATGTTTTATCAGTAAAATCACAGTAACTTGTGGCCACTAAAAGTGGTGATCGTCAAAAGTCTAGTGGAGTGAAGCACCCTACAAAGTGGGCTACATTGGAAGTAGGCTCCTCCAGTAACATATGGAACACCTCACGAACAAGCACCTATTTGTTCCACCAGTGGAGACATATATATAATATCTTTGGCATCTTGGGGGACACACCTTCATAATGTCAGTGATAGTTTGACGGTGTGTAAACAAGTATCCTGAACGTCTCCTTACGCCTGAGAAGTACGTCGCTGACGTAAACTGTCGCTGAAGGAGGGGGGGGGAAAAAAAAAAAAAAAAAAAAAAAAGTGACGCCGTGATACTCACACAAGTCGGAGGCGAGAAGCGTTTTGTTTCTTTTTTTCCTTTCAGTTGTGTGCTCTTATTGTTTGTCCGCTCGGTTGTTGTCACTCAGCTGTGTTACCCTCACACACACAGACACACACTCAGACACACACTCTCTCTCTGACAGACTCGCTCCACGGCTCTTCAGCGCTCTCCCCTCACGCGGCGCTATTTTGACAGTCGGGGTCGCAGTGAACCAAGTCAAGCTAGCAGCACCATTTACATTAGCATCGGTAAGTCATTCGCAGAGCTAGCTGCCCCTAGCTAGCACCTGCTATATTTCAAGACCTGACAGCGTCGGTGGGGATTTATACCAAGGTTGGCTTCAGTGTGAACATACGCTGCTTTGTTGGCTTGCTAGTTGTGTTGCGAATTCCGGGTTTTGTTGGCGTGAGTTAGCTAGCACACACTGGAAGGAAAGCGCTAGCTAGCGGGTTAACACTAGCCAGGCTAGGTGCTGTAGGTGGCTAATTATACTCGCCGGGGGAAGTGAGCTAAAGCCTTGAGCTAGCTATTGTTAGCGTGTAAGCGAGGCTAATATTTTCAGTCAACTGCACAGCCACGGCTCTGACCGCACTTCCATATGTTCCCCCACAGATAGACCTGGAGGGATTCTTTCACCCGGAGACCCAGACCCACGGCCAGCGAAACGGTGAGCTGAACCTCCACGATGACTTGAGACGATGTGATATCGATGATTCGTGATGTTTTAGTTGGAATGTAACGTTAAGCACCATCTTTAAAGTCCGCGATCTCCATGCCTGATTCGAGAATGGCCATGTTCCCAAATTATCCTTCTAATCTTAACTGAGACGGAACGAGGGTAACTCGGGGAATGAATGCCTGTCTCCGGTGATCGGGGATTAATTGATTATATGGGTTGAATCTGAATGAAGTGATTGGAAATTGTTTGTAGCTGGCCATTGCAATCGTTCTTACAGCACCCCCCCTTCATTCAGCTGGTGACAACAAGGTGTTATAGTTATAGGACATATGTGTGTGTACTGATGATAAGAAATAACAGCAAAGTGTAGGTGTAAAAACCAATATCTGGACGGGTCTGTATTTTGTAATATTGATTCAATGTCGTTGGGTTATGAGTTTGAATCTAAGATTTTTAAAATGTGTCAAAAATTAATTACACTACACTCCTAGGCTGTGTTAAGAGCACTGTTCAATTAAAGTTTAAGCTGCATTGTGTTTTAATACATTCAAAATTTTCCTTTGCCATCCTCCAAACTGAGCTAATATCGATCTTGGTCGGCCTTCCCTCAGTGAGGCTATATGGCTAATGTTCTATAATTTATCAAAACTGAAGGAGAAACACGCCTCTTACTCATTCTGTATTCTAATCCATAGTTTCTAAAATACTCGGCTGAAGAGGATTCACTTACATACTAGGATTTGTCTACATAAATGTAATGGATGGTCACCACTCCTTCTTGGCTTTAGCGGTTCTTTTTGACACTTGGACTGAAAATAGACAGTTGAGCCAAACAAGGTGGGATCACAGCACAGATTGTCAGGGCCGCGATTCAAACATCTGCTCTGGGAAAACTGCATGTGTGTCTGAAAACTTAAATATTCACAGGCATGAGATGTCAAACAAATTGGCAAATGACAGGCATGGTATTTTTGTTGACTGTTCTCTGTGAGATCAAGGATACGTTAAGGGGGTACCCCTACTGAACATTTTCAGTTTTAGTAAGTAATGGAGTACTCCATCTTTATTTACACAATTTGACCCTATTATAACTTATTTCTCTGCAGTTGTAGATTGGGCACCTATGTTTAAATAATACTAAGTCGACTTACTGGTGCACGCACAGTATCATTGAGAAAAGGCTTATCTACAGTAAGATCTCATGGAGGTGAGTCATTGAATCAACAGTCTGCTGTTGCTAAGGGCAGCAATGAGAAAGATGTAGTATCCTAGCTGTATCTCCTTTATATCCTGTAACTTTTAATCTTGACATTATAGAACATATCAAATTCAACTAGTAGAAGAACGTTTGATATTTCATAATTATCATGAATTTGTTTTTTTTGCAGGGTGCATGAATAACTTTCTTCATTCTTTATACACCTGTGTGATTTTTACATCTAATTGCTATGACTCTATTTATATCATATGATTAAGCATTCATACAAACCAAAATGGTGATGGTGGTTTGACTATATTTTACAGGCAGATAAAATTGAAATAGTCAGCTATTATCCAGCAAGACATGATCTGTGTGTTTATTTGTCAGCCAGGTATCCATATCTGCCTCTGTCTCTGAATCTCTGTTTGCAGCTGCAGAAGCAGAAGAGTGGCTTTTTCTAGAGAGATTTGAAGAGCTATTTATAGATCTCTGCCAGAGCACCAAGCACTATGCTGTTGCTGCTGCTCCTATCTCTCTCTTCTCTTAACCACTCCTGTATCTCCATGTCTCTATCTTTATTTGTCCCTCTTATTTCCCCCGGTCTCTTTGTTTTCTGAGCTTCGAATCTCTTGATGTTTTCACCACTTTTCAATGTTCTGCTTCCATATCTATCATTCATTGCTAGCTTTTGATGTAAATTATTGATCAGAAAGGAGGGAGGTGACGGATTGCTTCGCAGTAAGTCTGGCCTCCGATTGGATATAGGTGCCTGAGTGACTTCGGACTCATTGCTGCAAACCTGGAGGGTTTTCGCATGACAGTTCAAAGGGAAAGAAAACAGAATTTGTCACATGTTGAAATTCACCATTAGATCATAGGATTCCAGCAGGGCTTGACAAAGCATCTGTTTTGTATTTTTTCAGGTAGAATTATTACTTGTAGGACGAGAAGCCTGATTTAATAAATAAATAGGTTTCATTGAACCCATGCCTGATCCAATGTCAATTAAGAAACTAGTTATTTCCAAACAATCTTATTTAGTAAAGAATTTTTTGACCTGTTTGAACGTTTGCACTTAGTAGAGCACATACTTCTGCCAAGGCCCAACAGTCCCTTAAATTTAAACCCCTGAACATTTCACACACTCATAGATACTTTTGTGTGAAGCACTTTGTAACCTTGTTTAGACAAGTTTTATATAAATATTATGTTAAGATATCAGTTCCCTAAATTTGAAAGATTTTTAAAATCAAGATCCATGAATTATTCCCTGGAAAAGGGTGAATATGTTAAAATTGCCCATGATGTTAAAGAAAAAAAATACCATCCACCCCCTGATTCGGATACGCACCATAATTTAATGGGTTGTTACCTGATCCAGACCACATCCTTCCACTAAGTTTCGGGGACAACCGTGTGGTACAAACAAACGAAGAATCAAACGGACAGGGGTAAAAACATTACCTCCTTGGTGGAGGTAAAAAAATGTTCCTAGTGTTTCCTAATAGCTTTAACTGAGTTATATGCTGCGTGTAGTGACTGAAGCACCACAGGTAACTGCTCACGAATGGTTTATCTGTGATATCTCTGGCCACTGATCCTTGCTCAGCTCCTCCCTGTTCTCTGCCTTTGTACTAAGCCCTTTAATGTCTTCTCTTACTGTCCTGTGAAAGAGACTACATGGCTGCCCAAATGCAGAGACTGTTGGACTTGGAATGAGGCATTAGGTGTCATTAGTGTTTGCTTCCACATTTATTCCAATCATATGGTCAGTGTGAGACAGGCCATGGTACATTTTTTTTTCATTTTAACATGGCTATGTATTTTCATAAGAAAAAGAGATATAGCTATCACTACCCACATACTTCCATGCGTAATACGTTGTCATGGTGGTGAAGTAATGTAAAAAATAGAGTGCAGCACAGAGTTGAGAATTTCTGACCACAACAAAGGTGGCAATGTTGCAGGGAGTTTTGATAATATACCTCTTAAGAAAGAAGCAAAGGCGGCTTGTTTGTCCATTTGCCTGGGCAAAGTAATGCCTGCAGTTTTTTACCAACTCGCAAAGTCTCTCCCTTTGTTGAAATTTCTTCCTTGTGTCATATTGTTGTCTTGCTTGAACTATTGGCTCCACTGCCCCAATGATTTCTGGAGGTACTGCTCTGTTTTGTCTTCCATCTGTGTCCATATGCTTTCATAAGATGTGCACAAATATGGCCAAAATGAACAGAGATTAGGTCAGGAGGCTCTGCCCTTTTCTGTATACATATCTAAAGCATAAATTAACCTTAAGGATAGAATGGAAGGAAGACAAAAAAAGTTTTCTGCTAAACTGTCCGTCTGTCTGTCCATCCATCCATCTTCTGTAGCTGCTATATTTCGTGCAGGAGTCACAAATAACCATCTTGCTGTGAGGTGACAATGTTAACCACATTTGAACTTTATTTATGTTTCCACCTTTTAAAACAGCCGTTTCGTGAACATTGTCTCATTCATTATCAAGAGTCAAATGTAAGATTTTCTACATTTAAAATAAGTGGCACACTGACTGTGGACAAACTAAAAAAAAACAATTTACAGGGACATAGACCCATTTTCTTCCTCAAAGTGTAGCGCTATAGAGCATTTTATTGTCCTTGTAAAAAAATATTTAAAGATTGGCATGCTTATAGATCCCAACATCTTATAAGAAAACAAGATTGGAATGATAAGTGATGAAAATATGTTCTGACATTATTTATGCATTGACTGATTGCACTATCAAAGACTACTCTGGACATTTTTACTTAAATATATTTGGAAGTTGGAATGCTGGGTAACGGCCACACATTTCACTGTTCATATTTTGCTAAGTACCTAATAAAGCCTGGTCGCAAAAAGTCAGCTATGTATGAGGCACACATCCCTGGACTTCAGCCACCTCATGTAGAGTTCCCTACTGACATTTCCTTTGATTCTGAACTTTTGACTGCCTCCACTGCATCTTTAGCTGACGTTTGCAGTGAGGGGGCTAAAGGCAGAAGATGCAAATATATCATCTTGTGGGATAAGGGTTTTTCCCTATCTAATGAGGTGGTTTCATTATATTCCCCCTCCAGCTTCCCTTCAAAACCCTCATGTTTCGATTATTTACACTTTCATTATTGTAGCAGTGCTCTGTTTCTCCAGCAGCTGTCACTACTTTTAGCTCAGTGTGTCCTGACACTGTCTATAGATAATGTCCTCATACATTCCCATGAAATAGACAGATGAAAGGTGACCTGGACTATTCTGTCCATCTGCAGATGGAGGCTTATATCTTTCTTTCTTTCTTTCTTTTTTTAAGAACACCAAATCTGAAATTATGGTCGTGGAAGAATACATCTATTTACCATAGTCTCTCTTAAAAGTATCCTGCTGTTGTGTCAAGTGACATACTAACTGATCCAAGTAGCCCTTTTAACAGCAGGGCTTCTTGCGAGCCCTGGGTTGGCTGTCATTGCAATTATATTGTTACACAGAAGCAGAGAGCAAACAAGATATGTAAGAGAGAGAGAGGTAGTGAATCCACACAAAAGGGAGGGTTGGAGGAGAAGGGAGCGGTGCGAACTGTGCGCATGATAGCATGAGAGCATGAGAGCAGGAGAGAGAGAGAGGGAGCCAGCAAGCAAGCAAGGCTTACTGTTTCCCTTTACCGCTTGTGCTTCATTCAGAAAAAGAAAGGGGGCAGTCAAAATAGTGTTCCTCACCATTTTTAAATGAAACCCATCAACACAGACAGAGCCTTTGACAACGACAGACAGGAAGG